ATGACCAGTTGAACCTATTTTCCTGATCGTCAAATGTGTTTGAAAAAAGAAACAATGTTACAGTATAGAGCGAGGTGAATTGTGCAGGGTTACAGCATAGACAGGTCTAGCGATTTCTATCTGATTTTGTTACAATATACCCAGATTTCGGTTACAGCATAGACCTCGATATTTTCTTTATATACTAGGTGAAATGTATGAATGATACGTAGACTTTTTAATCTCAACAATTCACTGGTGAGCTTATTGGTCCGATGGCTTTTCGTCCGTTTGTCGTACACATGTATGTCCAATGACACGCGCTAAGTAAATTCTTGACCAAATTTGATGAAGTTGACATGAATTTCTACCAAAGTTTTTCAAATTGTTTCGGTTGCAATCTGGGATACGAAAACAAAAAAATATAGATTTTAAAAAAGGCAATGTTTAAAAATTCGAACAAAAAGATTCGCTGCGTGCCATTTAAAAGAATCCATCAAGCTAGTTTACGGAAGGTCGGTGGTTCTAGTCAGTTGCCCGCTCGTGTCTGAAATGTTTTACCTTTCAAAATTCTATTTTATTTAGTTGTATTCTCGTTTAGGGAACATGCAATTTTTAACCTGGGGGATAATATGACGCTTTTCATGGAATGGGATGACGGTTCCATGATAACCGCCATATGAACACGTCTACAAAAATTCTAAAGTTTACCAGTTCATGTTATATGTTGAATTCTGCTTAAGCCGGTGCCAGCTAGGAGGCGTGGGCGAAAGCTTGCAGTTACCACTACCGTCCATGAACAGGCTCAATGAAATCGAGCCTGCAACATTTTCAATTTTGCCGTGTGGGACTTTCTTTAAGGACTCTGTTTTTCACTATTTTATTACTAATGGGCATTAGAACGTGTAATGGAATCAAGCAATGATCTTTCTTCTTTTCACAGTTACTGTGTTTGCTGTGAAAACAGTCCTTACATAGGACATTACTTATTCTGCAAAAAGTCGCATTCTGAATACAAGTACTTAAAGTAAGGAAAAAATAAAGAAAGATGTAATACAACCCTTACAGAAAGGTATTGGTTATTTCATAACAATAATGGATACACGAATTAACTTTATTTGAGATTTGACAAGTATCTAAACTGTAACTGAAATCTGAGTATATACTGTAACAAAATCGGATTAAAGTCGCTCGGTCTATACTAGCCTGGGATTCAGGCGTTGATATTTTTTTATTTATTCATAACTTACGCGCTATTTCATACTCGATCGTCATAGATAACACAACATCTCTAGTTTTGATAGTACATGTATCAACAATAGCATCGATTCGCCGAACAGATCGAAGCACATAAAAATCGACAGACTGGAACCCAGGCTAGGTCTATACTGTAATCCTGCAAAATTCACCTCGCTCTATACTGTAACATTGTTTATTTTTTTAAACGCATTTGACGAACAGGAAAGTAGGTTCAACTGGTCATTTACATTTATAAACCTTTCTTAACACAAAGACCTAACGTTTTGTAAGTTTACTTTTTGTAGGCATTCTTAAATAATGTCGAATTTGGAGAAACATGCGTTGTTCTCTCGATTCAAATTTTCAAAGTGTCAAATTTACATATTTATGTGACAATATAGAGATGATAGTATACTGCGGTGCAGGGTCGAAAGAAATATATGACTAGATACCGGATCCTGTTTTGAACGAGCAAAGCACACAAACAAATTTTATAAACTAAACTCCTTGTTGGCGTCCGCGCCGAAGCGCGACGCCTCTTATGGAATGAAATTAGATTTTGTGAAAGGGCGACAGCAACTTCTCGAGCTTTTTAGTCGGTCATAATAAAAGCCGATCATTCCGATCGGTATGAGGATGCTTGATTATTAATTAAAAATGTAATATCGCGATATGTACAATGAATAGCGAACTGGAGAATTTCGCAATGCAAACATTTTCAAATGAAATAACCTTTTCCGTCAATAAATCGCGCTCTTCGGGTTTTTTTATTTATCATTTTGTAGTACACAGTAAGTTAATAGTCGCCGGTAGAAACCGGCGACTATATTTGTAACAGTTTAATATTATATATATGGTAGGAGAAAGCCTTAAAATCTGAATATAAAAGCAAATCAATTACTGAACAATTAAGGACCACAATTATTTTTCAAAAACAAACTAACGTTGCTAAATGAAATGAAATATACAAATATTGACATCTTAAAAAGCAACATTACAATTTTCATAAAATGAATTAATAACGTATCCCTATGGACCAGTCATTGAATTTAGGGATACTTTTACTTTTTTCTAAGTGTCATGCGTTGCTATTTTGATTGATAAATCATGAATGATATTTGAAATGACACATTTAAATTATTTGGTTGTTTATATCTTATGAGACCTATTATATTTCATTATTTTATCTAATTATAAACAGATTCTCCCTGTAGAATCACGTGACTACACGTTGTATGTTATTGTTATAAAATCTATTAATAGTAACAGATTGCTGATAAGACTTTTTTATATGAAAAAATACCGTATACCATAAAGTCTCAAATTGAGACTTGATGGTATACGGTATTTTTTCATATATGTAGAAATTGTTTGAAAACCATTTTTATCGTTGTAATAGATGTCCCATTCTTGTTTAAATATCAAAATAGTTTTGGTAGAGTGTTTACAGGGGCGTGTCACGTTGGGGGCAGGATCTGAACCCCAAGCGTCTGTGGAATTGCATTGTTTCATGAAAAAAATTAAAACATTTTCAAATATTCGATGACCGTTAATTATTTGGCGGGTAATAATCGGATTTTGAAGTATACAATACGGATTTCGATGTCTGGTATAACGGTATATGTATGAGGTAGAATTACAAGAATATCACTCGCCTTACAAAATTAATCAAAATTATGAAATAAAAAAAAAAATATGCTAGAAATGAAACACGATTTATCAACTTATGTTTCATATAGTTAAAAGAAATAATAAAAAAAAATAGTTTTATGAAAACTGCAAAGGAATTTTTCAAAGATTCGACCTTGGCCTACTAGTCACAACTTCGTCATACTTACCCATACTTACCACCACTAGGCCATCGAGCAATATTAATTGATTTAATATCTTTACTATCAATAAAATCTTTAGCATTAAATATAATAAGTTACGTAAACTAACGAAACACCTCCCGAAAATTAACGAGTCTCAGGTCAATATTGCCAGACAATACTTGCTTATTTAATAATCATAGCAGTTCCTTGACAATATTGCTAAGCAAGTTTGCTTCGTATATATGATGTTTTATTGTGAATGAACAGTTACTCAACATATTGTTCCTCTTTTCTTTATACTTGAACCATTAATGAAACTGATATTTTCTTATATTTATAATACAATCATTTTCTATCCGGTGACTTGATGCTTTAGTGTAAATAGAATGATGAGTTGATGACCTAAACATTCCGAAAATCTATTTATAGAGGGATGTACTCCTATGGGTAATTCCAGCTGGTCTCTCCCGGTCTATTTTGACCGGGATTTACTAGTGACCGGCGAATAGTATCACACGTTTATTGTCCGGTCTCTCACGGCTTTGGAGTAGATGTTTGATATTGTTACAGAACAGAACAAATATTTTACAGATAAATAAGCTTTTTTCCCAAAATGAATGTTTGTCACTTAGTTTGGTTACAATAATTAATAAACACAGATCAACTCTCAAATTTATTGATTATTATTATACATGACCATACAATTTGAAAAAAAAACAAAAACAACAACAACAACAACAATAGCATGTTTCATTTTATCTATATGAGATAAAAACAATAAATATGTATAATAATTGAGAAAAAAAGGTACATTTTTATGGTATTAATATGACACTATCAACTTTGAAACATTTTATTTAATTTGTTATTCGTGTTTAGTAAAGATGCCGAGGAATTATTCAAAGTTGCAAATCAGATTTTATGAATTATTCAATTGATTGATAATCTAAAAAATTATAAAGAAAATTACAAATGTACATGTACATGGTTTAAGAATAAACAATGTTATATAATAAAAGATTAACCATAATTTACTGACTTTTTCCAGTTAATCTTTGACTTATAATCGTCGGTCAATATGACAATTGAATTCTTAAAATTTATTTTACAATTTTAACAACAACAAAAAGAGTAGTCAACGTAAAACCTCAGTATTAAAATATCACATAAAACACAAAAGAGAAAAGAAAACAATATTCATAAAATCTGTAATTTTTTTATTAAATGAGATATTACAATTATTATATAATAAACAATTATGCTGAACATGATCAACATGGTAATATAACCAGTGTCATATTTTTACTAAGTGTGAACCGATACCTTAAGAGGGGGTACATAATAAGGGACAATTACACAAGTGTGGTGTTGATCATGCCTTAAACAAATGGATCATAAAGGCTATTGGTACTATGCGAAACGGAACGAAACGAAACGAGGGGCACCATATAGGGAAATTAAGAATTCTAGTTTTAATTTGGAAAATCAATATAATCATAATAGTAAATAATATGAATTCTTTATAATCACAGTCGAGTGATGTTTAATGTCCAATGAAACTCATAATACGCAAAACAGTAATTTTTAATCTTGTTCCGTTACGTTACGCAAAGTACCATTACCTACACGGATATTGGTATTTTGCGAAACGGAACGAAACAAAAATTAAAGGGGTTGGATATATCGGTGAAGAGGAATTTATCTTTTATTTGTAGTTAAAAGCATAACACTGAATGATTATAAATCGAACATCTGTTAATGAGCACATTTGTACATGTATATGAACCAGAGAGCAACCTTATATTATTTACCGGTCTGGATATATATATTATTATAAAGTCTTGTTAACAGTACTAAACATAAGCTGTCGAATGAGGAAACTCACGCAGCACGTAAGAAATGAAATTAAATTCGCCTTGTTTCGTTCCGTTACGCAAATTACCAATACCAACACAGGTATGGAACGGAACAAAACGAGAAAAAATAATTCATTTATATGAAATGTTTTTTCAGGAATTCATATCTAATACTCGTTTATGCTCGCATGCACAATAATGATCGCAAGGATTCGAAGTCAACATTGTTCAAGAAATATGCAACAGCTCATCAAGTCCACTACTTATTACTGGTACCATGCAACTCTTTACTTAAAGGCCAATTTTGACCCCAGTGCTTTTATTTGAACAAACTTTGAGACAATTACTAGAAGATGTTTCATGCTTAATATCTAAACTCTAGCTATTTGGGTTTTTTCAAAGAAGATTTTTAAGTTTTTGCTATACAAATATAAGGAAAATCAATAACACCCGGGGCGGGGCCAATTTTGACTCCAGGGCTTTTATTTGAACAAACTTTGTGGACACTCACTAAAAGATGTTTCATGCTTAATATCTTAACTCCAGCTATTTGGGTTTTTTCTAAAGAAGATTCTTTAAGTTTTTGCTATATACATATAAGGAAAATCAATGACCCCCGGGGTGGGGCCAATTTTGACCCCAGGGCTTTTTTTTTAACAAAGTTGGTTGACACGAATTAGAACATGTTTCATGCTAAATAGCTTAGCTCTAGCTCTTTGAGTTCTTTAAAAGAAGATTTTTTAAGTTTTTACTATATGCATATAGGGAAAATTATGACCCCCTTGGGCGGGGCCAATTTTGACCCCTGGGCTTTTATTTGAAAAAACTTGGTAGACAGCCATTAGAAGATGTTTCATGCTAAATAGCTAAGCTCTAGCTCTTTGGGTTCTTTAAAAGAATTTTTTTTAAGTTTTTATAATATGCATATAGGGAAAATCAAAGACCCCTCGGGCGGGGCCAATTTTGACCCAAGGGCTTTTATTTGAACAAACTTGGTAAACACTTATTAGAAGATGTTTCATGCTTAATATCTAAAATTTAGCTATTTGGCTTTTTTCAAAGAAGATTTTTTAAGTTTTTGCTATACACATATAAGGAAAATCAATGACCCCCGGGGCGGGGCCAATTTGATCCCAGGGCTTTTATTTGAACAAACTTTGTAGACACTCACTAAAAGATGTTTCATGCTTAATACCTAAACTCTAGCTATTTGGGTTCTCTAAAAGAAGACTTTTTAAGTTACTATATGGATATAGGGAAAATCAATGACCCCCTGGGGCAGGGCCAATTTTGACCCCGGGGCTTTTATTTGAACAAACTTGGTAGACACTCATTACAAGATGTTTCATGCTAAATATCTTAGCTCTAGCTCTTTAGGTTCTTTAAAAGAAGATTTTTTAAGTTTTTACTATACATTGTATGTATATAGGGATAATCAATGACCCCCTGGGGCGGGCCAATTTTGACCCCAGCACTTTTATTTGAAAAAATTTGGTAGACACTCACTAGAAGATGTTTCATGCCAAATATCTAAGCTCTAGCTCTTAGGGTTGTTTAAAAGAAGATATTTAAAGATTTTTCTTTCGGTTGCCATGGCAACCAGAGTTCTGCATGGAATTAAATTCTTTGAACAATTTTTAAAGGTGACCACCAAAGGAACATTCCTGTGAAGTTTGGATGAAATTGGCTTAGTGGTTTATGAGGAGATGTCATTTAAAGCAAAAGTTTACTGACGGACGCCGGACGAAAAGCGATCACAAAAGCTCACCCTGTCACTTTGTGACAGGTATGCTAAACAGTTATGTAAAAATATTACAAAATTAAATTAAACAAGCGAATTTGTTGAATTTATATCCCCCGCCAATGACTGGTTATTATTAACACAACAACTGAAGACATAAGGCTTTATTTATATATTAATCATGGCATAAACAGTAATATTCTTTGAACTTGATAAATATTCAGGGAAATAACAGAGCCATAACTTTGTGTTAAATAGTAAAATCTGGAAATGCCAATGAGATGTATGCATACTACATAACTAATCAAGGGCCATAAATCTGAGTTATAAGTATCTGACTGGAACAAGGCGACTATATGAACATCTCCTCTTAGTATCCCATAAAGTTTCATTGAATTCCAGCCGGTGGTAGCAGAGAAGTAGCGAGGAAACAAATATTTTACATATGGATACTGCATAACTAATCAAGGGCCATAAATCTGAGTTTAAGTGTCTGACCGGAACAAGCCGATGATATGCGCATCTCCTCTTGGTATTGAAGGTTCCCATAAAGTTTTGTTGAATTCCAGCCAGTAGTTGCAGAGAAGTAGTGCGGAAACGATTTTTACTCTATATGCATACTACATAACTAATCAAGGGCCATAACTCTGAGTTAAAGGGTCTGACCGGAACAAGCTGACGATATGCGCATCTCCTCTTGATATTGATGATTCCCATAAAGTTTGGTTGAATTCCAGCCAGTAGTTGCAGAGAACTACTCCGGAAATGATTTTTCTCCATATGCATATTGCATAACTAATCAAGGGCCATAACTCTGAGTTAAAGTGTTTGACCCGAACAAGCCGACGACATGCGCATCTCCTCTTGGTATTGAAGGTTCCCATAAAGTTTCGATGAATTCCAGCCAGTAGTTGCAGAGAAGTAGCGCGGAAACGATTTTTACTCCATATGCATACTGCATAACTTATCAAGGGCCATAACTCTGAGTTAAAGTGTCTGACCGGAACAAGCCGATGATATGCGCATCTCCTCTTGGTATTGATGATTCCCATAAAGTTTCTTTGAATTCCAGGCAGTAGTTGCAGAGAAGTAGCGCGGAAACGATTTTTACTCTATATGCATAATACATAACTAATCAAGGGCAATAACTCTGAGTTTAAGTGTCTGACCGGAACAAGCCGACGATATGCGCATCTCCTCTTGATATTGATGATTCCCATAAAGTTTCGTTGAATTCCAGCCAGTAGTTGCAGAGAACTACTCCGGAAACGAAATTCGGACGGATGGACGGACGAACGGACGGTCAGATGCGCATCTCCTCTTGATATTGATGATTCCCATAAAGTTTCGTTGAATTCCTGCCATTAGTTGCAGAGAACTACTCCGGAAACGAAATTCGGACCGACGGATGGAAGGATGGACGGACGGACAACGCCAAAACTATATCCCCCTCCCGATTCCATCGGCGGGGGATAAAAACTATTACAAATTTTTAAAGTTTAAAATGTACAGTTAAGTTATTTTTTAAAACTATAATAAAATATTTAATAAACAAGCAAATTCGTTGAATTTATATCCCCCGCCGAGTACTGGTTATTATTAACACAACAACTGAAGACATAAGGCTTTATTTATATATTAATCATAGCATAAACAGTAATATTCTTTGAACTTGATAAATATTCAGGGCAATAACAGAGCCATAACTTTGTGTTAAATAGTAAAATCTGGAAATGCCAATGAGATGTATGCATACTACATAACTAATCAAGGGCCATAAATCTGAGTTATAAGTATCTGACTGGAACAAGGCGACTTTATGCATATCTCCTCTTAGTATCCCATAAAGTTTCATTGAATTCCAGCCAGTAGTAGCAGAGAAGTAGCGAGGAAACAAATATTTTTCTATATGGATACTGCATAACTAATCAAGGGCCATAACTCTGAGTTAAAGTGTCTTACCGGAACAAGCCGATGATATGCGCATCTCCTCTTGATATTGATGATTCCCATAAAGTTTCGTTGAATTCCAGCCAGTAGTTGCAGAGAACTACTCCGAAAACGATTTTTACTCTATATGCATACTACATAACTAATCAAGGGCCATAACTCTGAGTTAAAGGGTCGGACCAAAACAAGCCGACGATATGCGCATCTCCTCTTGATATTGATAATTCCCATAAAGTTTCGTTGAATTCCAGCCAGTAGTTGCAGAGAACTACTCCGGAAACGAAATGCGGACGGATGGATGGACGGACGGACAGACAACGCCAAAACTATATCCCCCTCCTGATTCCATCAGCGGGGGATAATAACAAATTATACATAATTATACATACAAAAATTATACACACAAAAAATATTTAATTATTATACAGTATATTATAACAATATATTTAAAAACAAATTTACAGCAACTTATAATATATACATGTATATAAAAAAATTACTTATAAAACAATTTTTATAATAATTTTATATAATTTATAATATAAAATTATTACGTACTATAAAAGTATGAACAATAAATATATAAATATACTGTATATAAAGTTTACATTATTTACCAAAAGAAACAGAAAAATGGATCAAATCAGTTCTATTGCCAGACTGAACTAAAATAAAACATATTAAACAAAGAGTTCATCTCCTGATACAATGCTAGATTTTTGGTGGGTCAGTTCCTTTAAAATTCTTTTCAAAATGTAAAAGATAATTGTGAGAAATCATTTATGAAATCACATCTAGTTTTGTACTTTTAGTTGCATTATGACTTGTCATTATATTAGTCCAAAATTCTCAACAATATTACCTATCTGTTCTATGAAAATAATACTGCTATGCAAAAGGCCTTTTTCAGTCCAAAATCACATCAGAATATAGCAGTATTTTACCTAAATTCCTGGAATAATTCAAAGACATTCTGCAAAATGGCAATGAATGCTTCCCAACTCTGCACTTTAGTAACTATAATGAAGTTGCTAGGAAATATGTACGAAAAGTAAAACATAATTAAAGAAGGACAAAGCGTAGAACAGAGACAATATGGTTTAAAAAAGTTTTTTCCGGGGAACATTAAAAGGTAGAGTACAGCATAAGGACCTCTTCATTTTAAAATAATTTTAAGTAATTGGTAGGTAATTTCAATCACTATAAAACATTATTGACAATGTTCCAAAGGGTATTTAAGACATTTAGATCTTGACTGTCAGAAGTGTGAGAAGCTACACACTGTCTGAAGATATACACAATGCCCTTTTCTCCCATTGTGTAGATTTTTTAAAAGTCTTGCAATATCTGAAATTGGATTTGTAAAGTTCAATTTCTTCCTCCTGGTACAAGTGACAAGTAACAGCCAATTTGTCAGGCACAGCGCTTTTAAACGTCCAATTTGTGTGACAGTGTCAAGCTCTTTCATTGATATGAGGCACCAGCAATTCTTTTGGAAATTGTCATTTGTTTTCCAGTATCAAAGGCATAACTCATTCCTTCCTGAAATCAGTAAACCCACAGTATTAAACATATTTTACTTAATTATCAATGATTGTACAAGGATTGATCAAAAAGTTCTCTGCCCAATGTACTTCTTGTACAGCTTGGTTTTCAGTTTCGGAAACAGGTAGAAGTCAAAGGGGACCAAGTCCGGAGAATATGGGGGATGGGGAAGAATTTCAAAGCTGCAATCAGTTGCAGCAGCCATTGCAACTTTGGATGTGTGAGCTGGCGCATTATCGTGCAGGAGCAGAATGCCTTGAGTCAGTTTGCCCCTTCTTTTAGGCGTGATTTCTTGACGCAGATGTCTCAATTCGTCTGCATAGTATGTACCGTTTACGGTACGACCTTGCTAAGGATATTCAATCATGATTATCCCCCGACTATCCCAAAAAATTGAAGCCATCATTATCCTTGCTGATGGCACCCTCTTGAATTTCTTTGGAGGGGGTGAGCCAGAGTGCTAGCACTACATGCTCTGTTTTTTTTATTCTGGATTAAAGTGATGGACCTATATTCCATCCTGAGTTACGATCCGGTAAATGAAATCAGGTTCATCCTCGACATGCCATAGACATCAGTCAGAATTGCCTGAATTGAACCAAAGCTTATAAACACTTTCCTAGCAATGCTTCGCAGGTCTCACCTTCTGTCTCACATGATTTGCACAGCTTAGGCAGTGTCATCGTTGGTGGCCTCTTTTGACCGACCAGGCCGCTCATCATCTCCAATGCTCTCCCTGCCCCTCTTAAATTCAGCAGGGGGCGTCCCTGGCCGAATGGTTATGATCGTTGACTTCAAACCATTTGCCCCTCACCGCTGTGGGTTCGAATCCCGACAGGGACTTTGGATTCTTTCATGTGAGGAAGCTATCCAGCTAGCTTACTGAACGTCGGTGGTTCTACTCAGGTGCCCGTTCGTGCCTGAAATAATGCACGGAAGGGCACCTTAGGTCTTCCTCCACAAGTAAAGCTGGAACGTTGCGATATGACCTATACTGTGTCGATGTGACGTAAAACCCAAAAAAACAAACAAACAAAATTCAGCAGCTCATTTTTTCAGTGCTATAGGAAGGAGATTCCTTCCCAAGTGTATTTATGAAGTCTTCATGGATTTCCTTGGGGAACATCCCTTTCTTACAGAGATACTTAATGACAGCTCTGATTTCAATTTCGCCATTTGGTCTTAATTACACAGCCCTCTCGTGATCAAAGTGTTTTATGTTACTTAATCTGTAAAAAACCGCGTGAAACTTGGTCAGTAATCTTCAATTAGATATCGGTATCACTATATCGTGTGTAAATGTCACTGTACTGGCTCGAAGTATATCGGGCCGAGAACTATTTGATCATACCTTGAATTCAAATCATGAATTTGCTTTTTTTAATGAATTTGCATCCCCTTTTAATAAATTTACATCCCCCACCTACTAAAAAGCAGTCAACACTATAACACTAGTCCAAAGTAATTAATTTACTACTTATTTTTAGTCAAAAGGTATACGTACATAACATCTTACTAAAGTTAAAAGTAAATCGCAGATTATTGTGCAATAAGTTTTCATTAAAATTTCTTGCTTTAGAAAGAAATGATTTTTTCCTTCTGTAGAAAGAGAAATAAAATAGCACCTCTGAGGCATAATGGTCCTTTAACCTTTAGCTTTTTAAAATTTCTATGTAAAAATAGGCCTAATATTCATACAATAATTTCCCTGCTTGCCTTTTTCATACATAAATCAAAAGCGTCAGGAGGATATTGTTGTTAAGAATTATACAAGAAAAACATCATTTTTCGCTCGACTTTAAAAAAATAAATAAATAGAGGTATTGTTACAGTCATGTCGGCAATACCATCTGTTGATCATAACTTATTAAGTTTTCAGTGCATTGTCATCATACTTGGCCACAACAACCCTTGGCACAAGACTTTTATTAGACCAAACTACATCAATGACCTTGTGTGTAAATGGTTATCACTTTGTTATTATGGAATGGATTGACTTCATATTATAATGCAAGGAATTTTAGGATAAGATTTGATATTAAACTCAAAGTGACCTTGGCTTTTTTTACTTTGACCTTTAAAGTTTAATTATTGAATTTTTACAGATTTTTTGCTAAAATTGACTTTAACTTGGTATTAAACCAGAGCCACTGCCTGGCGGGGGCAAAGCTTGACTTTTTACTTTTTAAAAGCAAACAAGAAACATTTGAACAAATCTTAACGTTTCCTTTTTTATAAATTTAATCGGTGTGTCTTGTCACATTAGTTTTGTCAAAGAATGAATCCTTTTTTAATATACATGTATATATACACCAATATATAGTTATAATGCGCTAATCAGTGAAAATTTAACCTTCAAGGTCAAGGGCATAAAAGCGCCAAGATCAATTTGAGTTTGATAAACATGAAGGTCTTGTCCTTAAGAATGTTCTGATATAGTATGAAGTCAATCCATTCAGTAAAGTTACAGCCAAAAAAATGAAAATTTCAATAATTTGACTTTCAAAGTCAAGGTCATTTGTGAGTGAAGGTCAATGTTTGTCTGGTTAATTTAAAGGGCTATCCTTGAAGATTTTAATGTTTCAGTTTGAAGACAATCCATTCAAAAACAACAAAGTTACAGCCAATAATAGTCAAAAGAAAAATGAAAATTTCAATAATTTGACCATCAAGGTCAAGGACATTTATCAGTGAAGGTCAAGGTCTGTCTGGTTATTTTAAAGGGCCCTCCTTGAAGATTATAATGCTCAACTTTCAAGACAATCCATCCAAAAGTAACAATTTAATTACAGCCAATAATAGCCAAAAATATGAAAATTTTAATAATTTGACCTTCAAAGTCAAGGTCCCTCACGACTGAAGGTCAAGGTCTGTCTGAGTGTTTTAAAGGGTTATCCTTGAAGATTATTATGTGTAAGTTGGAAGACAATCCATTCAAAAATAACAAAGTTACAGCCAATAATAGCAAGAACAAGCAAAATTTGGACTTTTGACCTTGAAGGTCAAGGTAATTTGTGGATGAAGGTCAAGGTTAGTGTGGTCTACTGAAAGGTCTTGTCCCAAGGGTTGTTGTGGCCAAGTATGAAGCAAATACACCAAGAACTAAAAAAGTTATGATCCAGGTACAAGTTTGCGGACGGCACCGGCAACTGCAACGGTAAAGGCAACGGCAACGCCGCCTGCTAAGGACTATAACAATACCTCTTTTTTTCTTTTTTTTTTAAAGTTGAGCTAAAATGGACGTTCATCATACTTTGACAAAACACCATTTTGGATTTTGGACAAGACCTTCTGAAAGGTTGAAGTGACTTTGACCTTAAATGACGCAAATATCTAAATGATGAACGTACGGAAATTTTTTTTGGGGAGCATAAAAACTTACACACATAAAATTTTTTAGACAAAGGACCTACATTTTACTTTGACACATTGAGAAAATCAATTAATCGAAGTTCGACTCATAGAAGTTATACTGTATACGGTGGTCATTTTGCAATAGACACTTATTCCTCACATTACAATGAGACACCCTCCACCATATCAGTGGTTTTTGGAGAAGCAAGCAAGTGCAAAACATTCTCTCTGATGCATCTATCTGTGAAGTATTAGGCAAAATCTAGACTCATCAGTAAATAAATTGCAAATGGTGATAGGACTGATATAGGTGTTCCTGACATAGATATTTGTCAAAGGAACAAGAATGGCTGGACATCTGGCAATTACACCTGCATCATGCAATCTATTCCTAATGATTGTCTTGGTAGATACCTGTACATTTATAATATTTATTTATTTATTTACAACAATATGTATTTTTCTAAGGCTTATATTGTACACCACTATCTACTTGTGTTGCATTTGATTTGATTTGAAAATGTTTCAACATTTTTTTAACAACCCTGTTGGAGACGTCTCATTCAAGCTACATGTCACATGCCTTCAAGACATGCCTGTCTGCAATATATCAACTCCCCAAACTCAACTTGTCAGGCATTTGCTGCCTTCTTAGATATTGCTTGATTATTTTGAATACTTACACAATATGTTGAATTTCAATATTTTAACAAGAGAACAAAATTCAGACATGAATACTAGGCATATAATTATGCTGTAAAAATCTTGTTTTTTGAGATTCGCAAAGTCTGTGCCCTTCATTTGTCGTCATACTTGTACAAATCAATAATACTCTTCCATGACTATTACAAACAAATTCATACCTGAGGGTATTCTGAGTTTTTTTTTGTCCATTTCCTTGTCTTTTTGGTCTTGAACATATTTCATAAAAACTTCACATACAAGGCTATGAGCATGCTCTGTCTGGCAAACAATTGTCACTTCCTGTTGAAATGACTTCTTTTCAATCAGTTTTTGCTTACAATATTCTAGATAGCTCTCCAAGAAACCATTTGCAGCAAATTTGACTTCTTTATCAATGTTTGATTCTAGAAAAAAACAAAAGAAAATCACAGCTGGTTTATTTGGCTGAGAAACTATTAAGCAGCTTGTTTTAAACAAAACGTGATGTAAACAGAAATTAAGTCATATAAACTCTTTCATTATTTACCCTACATGCATATATAAAAATTATTATCATATTAATTAAGTTTCTCTTAAGTTTACTTAAATAAGAATTTACACCACCTTAAATTTCTAGGGATTTTGTAATGAAAAAGGTCCAACAACAAACTGAAGCAGTCCAGCTCTTTACTAAACCTTGGTAGCATCTATTAAATCATCATTTCTATGTATTAGAACACACGTTTTTTTTAATGATGTGTAAAACAAGATTTATTTTATGTTATATTTTCATATCTGACCATGACAGTCAATGACATATACAGACCAAGGTCATACTTAAATTATTTAACATGTACTTGGTGTTGTCATAAGTGTTGTTTTGTCCAAATATTTATCAAATTTGTCCATATTCAACCACTCTTCGAGATTTTGTCACTATACACAAAGAAGAAAAAACTGGTGCTAAACTGCCAATAAACATTGGTTAGGGACTACATGAATATGAGGCAGTTATTTTTTTCTCCCTTGATAAATTAGTAAACAACTTTTTGAAAACAACAATAATTATCAATTTTTATGCCCCCCTTCCAAGAAGAGGTAGTATATTGTCGATCTGTCGGTCTGTTGGTCTGTCTGTACGTTGGAAGGGCACTATTTGTTTCCACTGATTATCTTGAAAACTATTTATCACAGTCTTATCTGTGATTTGCAGGCTTCATAACCTCTGATCCCCTTTCAAAATTCCATTTTATTTAGTTTTGCCCATTGTTTTCTCGTCTAGGGCAAACATATATTTTTACTTTGGGACTATATGCCGCTTTTTATGGAATGGCACTTGCGTGTCACATTGAAGGTTCCATGATAACCGCCATATGAACACATCTGCCGATGTTTCAAAATTGTACAAATTCATGTTAAATGTTGAATTCTGCTTAAGCTGGTGCTAGGGGGCGTGGACAGTAGTTTGCACTTGACAGTACCGTCCATGAACAGGCTCAATCAAACCGAGCCCGCAACATTTTCAATTTTGTCGTGTTGGGCTTTTTTTGGGAATTCTTGTTTTCTTCATTTCATTTTTCACATACTGATTGGTCATAACTAGTAAATGACCCCTATTGGTTTTTGGGTTACTAGGTCAAATGTCAAGGTCACAGGGACCTTGAATGTAAGAATGGTTTCCGCTGATTATCTTGAAAACTATTTATCTCAAAGTCTTCATATTTCAAATAGTGATTGGTTATAACTAGTAGATGATACCTATTGATTTTCGGGTCACTAAGTCAAAGGTCAAGATCACAGGGGCCATAAATGTTAGAATGCTTTCCGCTCATTATTTTGGTTACTATTCATCACAAAGACTTCATATTATACATATTGATTGGTTTGTTTGTTTGTATCATTTTATGCCTTTTCCCAACAGTATTCCAGTCATATAGGTGGGTAGTTTCCTAACCATCGTTCCTGGAGAGTTGCACCAGTACTAGACTACCTTTCTTTGTCTAAACTACCAAAGCATCTCCCGGGGATCAAATCCACGCCAGAAAGGTAACTGGATTAGAAGTCATTGACTCTAACCCCTCGACCACAGAGGCGATTGGTCATAACTAGTAGATAACATGTATTGATTTTGGGGTCACCAGGTCAAAGGTAAAGGTTACAGGGTCCTTGAATGGTAGTATGATTTCAGCTCATTATCTTTAAAGTTGATTATCACAAAGTCTTCATATTTCACCTAGTGATTGGTCATAACTAGTAGATGACCCCTATTGCTTTCGGGTTCACAAGTTCACAGGGACCTTAAATGTCAGAATGGTTTTCGCCTATTATCTTGAAAACTTTTTATCAAAAAGTTTCATATTTCACATACTGATTGGTCATAACTAGTAAGTGACCCCTATTGATTTCGGTGTCACTAGGTCAAAGGTCATGGTCACAGGGTCCTTGAATGTTAGTATGGTTTATGCTCATTATCTTAAAAGCCATTTATCACAAAGTCTTCATATTGATAATATTGATTGGTTATAACTATTAGATGGACCCTATTGATTTTTGATCACTAGTTCTTAGGTCAAGGTCACAGGGGCCTTAAATGTCAGAATGATTTTCGACCATTTTCTTGAAAACTATCACAAAGTCTTCATTATTTTTCATTTTTCCATAAGTGAACACTTCAACCCATTTATAGCAAGTTTCTATAACAAAATAACTAATAATGTGAGTAAAGAGCTAGAAAGGGGGCATATGTGTCGTTCAACATTTCTTGTTATTGATACAATCCTTTCTTACAATTTTTTTCTCTTTTCATAGAATGCTAAAATAATATTTTGCATAGTAACACTACCTCCACAAGTTTGATCAATATCAATTGATAATTTTTTTATGACAATCGGCGCCAATAAGTAAGCAGCAGAATGATGTCATCCTTATTAATTAACTCATTCATAAAGTTGCTAGAATGGCGTCATTTTAAACTGACAAGAATGATTTAAAAAGCACTGAATGTAAACACAATATTATCCAGTTCGTACGTAAGTTTTAATTGTTGAAAACTTAATAAAAAAAACTTTGTCCTCTTATTATATGTATACTTTCTTTTGTTTAATAATTTCTATATCTTAGCAACAGTAGGGTGTGAAATCGAATAGTGTTGTATAAAAATCAGCACTAGAAATACTCTCCACTTGACAAAATAGCGCAAGTGATCTTCCCCAATTGTCGTATTAAAATCAGAATAATATAGGTCTGAGCGAGATTAAAAAGCTATTTAACACGGGTTTTGTCGGTTTGATGCGAACAAATTAATCACTTGGGCTGACGACCTTCATGGTCAATTACTTAACATCAAAAATCAAAATCAGGTTGTCAAAATGCTTGTCTAGGTAATTGCTTGAATGAGTTTCAACACGGGTCATATCGGATGAAAAACTTGGTCACAGGAGCTTAAAATAGAAAATTCTTGTTAACACACTAATGGCTACTGTATTTATCAAAATATTCTGGAAATTTGTCTGAAAGTTTTGATGATTTCTAGGTCAAATTCTAATGTGGGTCATCTGGGGTCAAAAACTAGGTCACACCACCCAAATATGGAAATACCTTGTTAACACTCTAGTGGTCACATTCATGACTCAATTGTCATCACACTTGGTCAGGATGCTTGCCTAGGTAATTTCTCTGATAAGTTCGAACATGGGTCATCTTGGATGAAAAACTAGGTCACAGGAGCTAAAAAGAGCACTGCTAGGCGGAGCATTATATGCCGAAAGTGTTTTTATTTTTTTAGTAAGGATGAAGCACTTGTAAGACATGGGAATTAAAACAAGAGCCGGTTGAACCAGTGATGCTCCCCGAATAGGTTTTGAACACAGAAAGGTATACCTCTTGCAGTGTCAGAGTTATGTCACAGACAAAGTTCAAAGTGAAAAAACCACCCAAATGTTGTGTGCGACACGTCGTTTCAATATGGTGATCATTTTTATACAATAGTTCTAAAATCCAACTTCAAAATTAATAACCAAGTTATAGGCCAGACACAATTTTGCTGCAAGGTCATGCTGTGACCTTGACATTCAAGGTAGCTACACAAATGTTTCATGTGACATGTCGTCTAAATATTGTGATCATTTCTGTGAAATAGTTGCAAAATCCAACTTCAAATTACAAAGTTATGGGCCATCATGATTTTGATGCAAGGTCATGCTGTGACCTTGACATTCAAGGTAGCAACCCAAATGTAGCGTGCGACAGGTCGTCTCAATATAGTGATCAATTTTGTGAAATAGTTGTAAAATCCTACTTCAAATAACAAAGTTGTGGATCAGACACAATTTTGCTGTAAAGTCATACTGTGACCTTGACCTTCAAGGCAGCAACCTAAATATTGCGGGGGACTCAATATGGTGATCATTTCTGTGAAATAGTTGTAAAATCCAACTTCAAATAACAAAGTTATGGGCTGAACACGAGTTTGTTGCAAGGTGGTGACCATGACCTTCAAGGTATCGACCCAAATGTTGCGCGCTACACGTCGTCTCAATATGGTGATCATTTCTGTGAAATAGTTGTAAAATTAAACTTCAAATAACAAAGTTATGGGCCGGACACGAATTCGGGACTTACGTACGTACGTACATACGGAAGGATTAACGGATGGACAACCCAACGACTATGTGATCCCTCAAATTTTTTCGTGGATCATAAAAAGTATTACCTCCTTCAACAAGAGGGCCATGATGGCCCTGAGTCGCTCACCAGAAACAATTGTTTTTTCAGTGTTGGAATGTCAATATATTCTATTATAGCATAAAATCGGCTATTTTCCCCTATTTTGCCCATGTTATAACGGGACCACAACCATGTGTTAACATATATAGTCACGCGCTATTGTTATAGCCAGATTTCGCCTATGCGCAATACATACAGGGCCCAGTTAATAAACAACAAGAGCCACCGCCGGGCAACGCTCGACTTTTAACTTTCTCTAAAAGCAAACAAAGAAATGTTTAAACAAAATCTAAACGTTTCCTTTTTATAAAATGAATCATTCTGTCTTGTTACATAGTTTTGTCTATATATTTTTTATATATAAATATACTAATTTATATATATATATATATATATATATATATATATATATATATAATATATATATATATATATATATATATATTATATATAAAAAGACACGCAATTATATAAATAGAAAATTATATCAATAGAAACACACCAATCTATAAATAGAAAATTCTATAAATAGATACACTTGGTGGAGTCACGTGGTGGAGACACGTGGTGGAGTCACGTGGTGGAGACAAGTGGTGGAGTCACGTGGTTGAGTCACGTGGTTGAGTCACATGGTGGAGATACGTGGTGGAGTCACGTGGTGGAGTCAAGCGGTGGTGTCACATGGTGAAGTCACGTGGTG